AACCATAAAGATTGATATCATTCCCCGATGCTGGATCCGTGCGTTAGTCTTTGACGTAAGCCCAGAGAGACAGTGGCAGGGGCAGGGGCAGGCAGAAATATGCATAAAATTCAGAAAACAGGTTACAATAGAATTTTCGGCTGCCATAAAATAAAACTGATTGTCGCTGGTTTTCATATGTACGATCGTTTTGTATTGTATAAGATTGTGGCTGGCTGGCTGTCTGGCTCTCTGGATGATGGTTATTCAAGGACAGCCTGTTTGGGGGCCCACAGCATTTGCATACTCATATGGCGGCTTAGAGCGACTTACACACAGTACACATGTCTTTAGTTTGGCCAAGTATATGTTATAGATCAGATTTAGCTACCAGTATGCAGATTTGGCTTAGAACATGCTCATGAATCGATCGAGAGAGAGAGAGAGTGTGTGTGGTGCGCCTGCACCATAAATCATCTGTCTATAAATAAGTCAAACTTAATGGAGGTCCCAGCCAAAGTCCCGATAACGCGCCACAATCACTCACCCATGTATTTATAGAGCTGCAATTTGAAATATGGTCAATGGCAGATGCCACTGGGAGTCCTCGACCGCAGGCCGGACAAATCCCTAACGCCAGAGCATCCTGGGCATATTTATCGCCTGCTACTTGTAATTGCCACAAATTGTATGACATTTTTATGCCCCTCTGTTGTTGGGGCATGAATAATTGATTTACACGGTGTTTGTGTATTTGCCCTGCCATGCAATAAATTTATATTGCATTCGAGCATATGGCCACAACAGTGGCAGTAGCAGTCCTTATCGTTTTCGCTTTCTGGCCCCCAAGTGGGCACATTAATCAGAAGCCCCCCCGCTCCCCCTACACCCGGACTACCAGAGCAATATTGTAAGCCGGCGCCCACGCCAGGGCTCTGCCCCATGGGGGATGCACTCTAATGACTTGGAGCTTCCTTCTCTCTATTTGCATCTCTGTGTGGCAATGGCGGCGCATTTATAAATCATGCAAGCGGCAGTGGGGGCACCATATCGATGCCAATCGCAACACGCGTTGAAACTGCAATTAGCGCAATCTCTCGCCTTAATCTTAGAACATTAATTAGTTTATTTAAAGTGACTTGAAGTCGAGTGATGTTGATTTCAACTTTATTGCATAGACGACAGCTTAATTGCGGTAATTATGCATTAGCCCGCATTGGAATGATGTTTGATGTCACCCTGTCCCACGGCGCAGAGGTGATGGCCTTCGTACTAGTTCTTGTTCAGTTACGGTATTTGTGGAACTAGTACGAGCCTCATTTTGTATCGATTACAAGTGCTGGGTAGTCCTTTTTTGAAAGAGAGAGCTACAGTCCAGTTCCAGCATTAATGAACTGACGAAATGGAACTAGTTCTAGCTTCAGTGGTCATCGATTACAACACTGGACAGCAGAGGACTTCCGATAGTTGCCAAGAACAGTGCTGCCCCATAATCAATGTATATCGATTACATTGCTTGCCAGTGCTGCCTCCGTTGATATTTGTAACTATTATTCATAGTTTTTCTTTGCTTTTTTACTTATAATTTATGTTAATTTCTGTAACTTCTTAATTTTCCACTCGTCAGGGGCCTTCTGATCGAGTGCATTCAATTAAATGAGCTTCTACATTTGCTTTAATGGCATATTTAAAGCCGACATTTATTATAATTAAACTTACATCGCCGCCTGCAGACAGCCTTCTCCGATCCGACTGGACGGATGCTCATTCTGGGGCCGACTGTTTCTGCTTTCGGTTTCAGTTGCCACCGCGCTGTGCTAATTTCGCCAGCAACTTGATTAATAAGCTGCCATAACGTGCTATCACAGAACAGCAGCCCCGCTGCCGGGGCCATTCATCTTCTAGACAAAGAGCAGAGCCAGGTCCGGGCCAGAACGAGGCTTGGAGCCGCCTCCTCTTCCTTCGATGCCTTCGGTGTCTTCGGTGCTGAGTGAGGTGCTGAAAACGAATTTCATTTGCTACAACTTGGCCTTGAGCCATGAATTATGTTTGCAATTACTCTTCGGGTTGTCATGCCCCAGCACTGGGGAACTGGAGTGTCCGGGTGCTCCTTCTGGTTCTATTTCTAATGCCCGTGGGGGCAGGCGAAGGGGCGGCAAGTAAAAGTGCAAGTTGCCAGTTACGATTATGGAACTGTGCCACTTGCTGCACGGCCTGTCTTCTTTCTAATGGGGAGACGTCGGAGCCCCCTGGCAGTTAATTACAGCTTGTTGGCCGTGTTGCAAGTCAGCGTGTTGCCGATGCAGATGATGATACCGATGCTGCAGTGGCGATGCTCCTACCTGCACCTTGGCACGTTGCAGCGTGTGAAATGAATGTTTGTTGTCAGAGCGTGGCGCATGTTGTTGATATCATCGAACAAGCCAGCCAGTCAGCCTGCCAGCCAGCAAGCCCCCCCAATTATTGCTCTCCCTGATCGCGGATAACCATCGGATTTCAGCATTCTTTGTCCGTTGACATGTGAAAAACTCTTCGTCTGAGTCACCATCCATCTCCTCCGTTAAGCCAAGGCCAGGCCTAGCGCTGCTCTGGAACTAATTAATGCCAATTACCGCCGCAGAATTGGCCAGTCCGAGTTCTGAACATGATTGTTGCCGCCTCGGGCTAATTGAGTATCAAATTATGGCCAAAAGTGCCTTACATCGGGTGCCCAAATGTGTTTGCTCTACAGTTTCCCAGGCGCCAAGGCCCCCTTCGACACGCGGAAATCGCCGTCAGTTCAATTAACACTCCCCAAACGAGAGAATAAACCTCTTTCCCACCAATCGCAAACGACGGAGGTGTCTGTGCTACCGTTTCGATTTTAGATTTTTGTTTCGTATTTCGTATCGGAATCGTATCTCTTGCTGGGCGTTAAAAAGCTCTTAAATTGCATTGCGTACCGTGCATGCCAAAAAGCCAAACCTGTACCTGAAACCGAACAGCATTTTGTGAAATTACTGTCCGAAGGCCGTCGGAGCTGGTCTGACCTTTACTTTTGGTGTCTTTCCAGGCGGTGTCGTTGACATTTCTGGCGGCTGATCACTTTTCGTATCAACTTGTTGATGATTTAGTTTTAATTCGCGTTGCGTCACAGCTGAATCATAAGATAGTTCCGTTCTGCGAAGGATCGATGCTCGGCGCCCACCATGACGTATGCGCAATGCTTATCAATCATACGCCACTTCGGCCCACACCATTCACAGAGACCAAGAATTTGCCTCTCCTTTGCTTTGTGTGTGTGTGTGTGTGTGTGTGTGTGTCAGCACGAATTAACGATTGCGATTTAAATCGCACGATCATCCCGAGTTTTGGCTGTGGCTGCGCCATGCGGAAATTGTTTGTACAACATGGGCTAAAACAAAGGCGCCTCCGAACATCGGCCAAAACAATTCATTATTAATTTTGTTATTGTTATTTCAGCGCCAAAAGAGCGACCAAGTAATTGAATCTTCGCCTAAGACCGCTTTTGGCTGCTTTTGGCCAAGTTTAAACAAACAGCCGCCAGTACGAAGAAGAGCAAATGTTTCTCCCCTTCCGATTAGCAAACTTCAGCCGAAATGCGGTGCGGCTGCTGCTGCTAATTTCTCAAGTCTCAAAATAAAACCAACAAAAAATGTTGGCCAAACGTTGCCCACCCCGTTTTCTCCCACTTGTGGCCCAAACGGTTTTCGGTTTTATTTTCGTGTGTATTTTTAATGTAGCAAGGTCGTTCGTTGGCCGTTCGTTCGGTCGCCGCAAAAGCTATTTGTAATGATTATTAAAACAACGACCCACCGCTCCCCGGCTCTCCCCACCAGCATATTATCCGAACATTCCCATTCACCTGGCCATTGTCTACTGTAGCCACAGCTGTTGCCATTTGCCGTTTGCTGTTTTGGCTTTAATTGAAATAACAAAAAACAGTAACAAGGCAGTGGCTGCAAAATTATACTGGATTACAACAGGGCCGGCCAGAGGGAGGCATTCTTGGGCAATTATTGCCACACATCGCAGCCTTTCGTTAGGTTTCATTTTGTCCAAGATCTAATGTGATTGAATACCCATGAACATTGACTCTGACAGCCGGACACTTGAGGAGTTCTATTTAAAGCCGCAATCCGTCGGCATTCCTTCGGTGTTAGCTCAGCGCCGACGACTACTGGCCAGTAATGCCAAGAAAACAACCAATTTGCCAGCATGATAATTGAGTTGTGAAAGGGAAATCCATCCACAATTTCGGATGGGTACGTAAACACACTTTTGGGGTGCCGCCACACCCCCATGATTCATTCTGCTTCCATTTCAATTTTAGATTTTTAGCAAATTGCATTCGACTCGGGCCCACCATATAAGTAAAGTGCCATAAACGGATAAAAGTCTGGGCCTGAATTATGTCGCTCGTTGAGTTAATCAAAAGAAATCCCAAGCCAAATAAAGTAGCTTGAACGGAGGGGAAATACCCAGCGATACATCCGCCACGGGAGCGGCAGCGGCAGCGGCAAGGAAATCAATTCAAATCAAATCAGAACTAATTCACACGCTCAAAATGGTAAAATCAACACAAAAACCCAGAAAGGAAGGCTCTGTTGGGTTGTATAACTTAAAGATACCCTAGAATATCAGATGAATATAGTCTTTCAATATGGTTGAAACATGTAAAAACATTTTCTTGGATTATCTTTAGAAACAAAAGTGATCTTTCGAGATAATATCTGTATGATATAATCCGATTTATTCTGACCTTTACTGTGGGGGAGAGAAGAGTGCGTCATGCCGCTCTCCAGAGAGTGAGCTTCGCTGCTCGGCTGTCGACAAGCTTCTGAAAAGAGCGAAAGCCAAGCTTCGGTTCGGCCCCAGCCTCGTCTTGGGCGGCAGCCTCGTGCCGCCTCGGCCGCTCTTCGGCTGTGGTGTGCGCGCTTTTTGGTGCTTTTCTGGGCTGTCTTGCGGCCTGGCACACCGTTACTTCGCCAGTTGAAACACACAGCTTGCGGCGAGCGGTTCTTGCGCGCGCTTCTACCACGCCTAACTCCCCAGCGAGCGACTTACTAACCAACAAACAGCAGAGCCTCAGCAGCCAGCAGCAGCAGCAGACGACGACGCGTCTGAGTCGCGACAGCAGAGTTCTGAGAGTGCTGTGCAAATACAAAATATAACAAAGAATATTAACAAAAGACAAAACCCCACGTATTATTTAAAGAGTGTAACGCAACACAAAAAAAAGGAAAAGAAAATAAAACAATTGTGTGGAGAAACCTGGTCCGGTGATTGATTGGTGGTGTCTCTGGTTGGTGGGCGTTACGAGCCGAGTTCTGAATCAGACTCAAGAATCAAACCCCCCAGCACACAAGAACAAACAGTGAATATTCGGATACAAGTGCTACGACGGACATTGCGCATACGCCGCATTGCACATTGCAATCAGGGTGAGTAGGCGAGAGAGACAGAGATCTCTTCCAGGGGCGACCTTGGCATTTGGCTAAATTGATTTAGTCGCTAATTGAAACGAATGCAGCACGCTCGATCGGCCGGAGAAGATCATTTGATGGGCAGCCGATGTGCTCAGGCATTTGTAATTAGCATTCGGCTGTGTCTTATAAATAAACATGGCTTCTATCAGTGTCTCAGTGTCTGTGTATCAGTGTATGTGCTAAACGCCAAAGGCCATAACCAGCTGTCCATGAGTGTGAAATAAAAGCTAAAGAGAATATATACCATATACTACTATATACTGTAGTATATAAAAGTGAGCATATCTGGCAGAGCACCATGTATTTGCATGTTTTACAAAATTACAAAATCAAGTTCGTTGCCTGAGTCTTTTGTTCGGGCGGCACAAAAGGTTCTGTGGACATGGAATAGAAATAGAAACTAAGCCGCCTGCAACAGCACCACTCATTTAAGTCTGTGGAAAACAGTTCAAGCAACAGCCTTCATCGCGGCCCAGTCACTTTTGTGGGGGGGAAAACCAGTTGTGGCCCGCAATGCGTGTGCTTAATTTACACGCAGATTAGCATTTGCATTAATATAATTTCATATCTTTATTAACCGAAAAATGTCAGCTCAGCCGCAGCCTCAGCCGCAGCCTCAGCCCCAGCCCCAGCTTCGAAGTCGAAGAGCTCCTGCCTTGGACAGAATTTATGAGCGATACAATCGCGGCTCTCGGCTTCGCCCGAAACACTTGATGCATACAAAGTTCCCCAAAACTAAAGGAAAAAAAAAAGATATAAGAGATATAAGATTCGCTATAAAATTGCCCTGTCGGTTTGCGCTACACGTCATGTGATTTGTATCTGCTGAGTGTTCTACCCTTTTGGCCAACTATCGGCCAAATCTTGGGGGGGGTCTTTGGCCTATGCGCCGTTGAATCATAGCATCTGCCAGAGTTCCATCGAGAATGGGGAGCGAAGCGAAAGACTTATTTGCATGCCAAATGAAAGCTTAATTAGGCCACCAAAAGACACAACACATTTGTTTGGCTCTGGCTCTGATGGCCTACATTTGATGGCTGCTTGGGCTGCGGGCTCGGGCTCGGGCTCGGGCTCGGGCCAATGTCTTCTCATTTGTCTAGTCCGCTGTTAAGTCTTTTGCCCCTGAATTATGTCCACGCCACAAACAGATCGCCACAGATCGGCTGTGCTAGAATTTTACACTCAATTATCCACGCAATTGTTAATTATGCGTTTGATTGTGCCAGCGACGGCTCTATTTCAATTTGAAACCGAAACTAATGAAGTCTAATTAAGAGCGAAAAACTCGTACTGCGGGGCGGCCTTTGTTGAAGTGGTTATGCGTCTTTTCCTGCTCTTTAATTATATTTATATACAAAAGCGAATACCGAACGAATGCATTGTGCCTGGGCTGGCACATTGATTGGCAGAAATCAGTCTGAAGAGTTTTCATTTCTATGATGTAATTCGGGGCTGGAGTGATTGTTGAATCTTTGGTCTGCCTTTGCTCTTTGGTGAATCACAAAACATGGCCAAATGCCAGCTGGCAACTGTCAATTATCCACTGCCAACTGCAGTTGAAGCCAACGAATTAGCATAGCCAAATTGTAGTCGCACTCGAATCGATGACTAATTGAAGCTCAAGATCCATAACGAGGCACTTTTAATTAACCGAATCTACCCCCGTCATCTGGCTCCATCTCTTGGCATCTCTTCTAATTCCCTTATTCCACATAATATTGTTTTAGGCACTATTTTATGCGTTGTTCAAGAACGTTGTGTGGCCCGGGCACTTGCTTGGGCCTAAGAATAGACCGGCCATCGAGCCCCGAAACGTGCCTGGCCACGTACAAAGAGATTTTTGCAAGTAATTTGAACATTAAAAACAATGTCGGAGCTGTATAATAATAATCACTCGATAGCAACAGCAAAAGCGGAAGTCAAAGGCGATGTTGAAGCCACACGAAAGTGCTGTGCAACAACTCTTTTTCTTTTTCTCTCTCTGTCTCTGTCTCTGTTTTTGGGTTTTTTGTTTTTGTGATTTATTTTTGTGTCTTTGACGCCTTCCTGGCACGAAATACTTTGGTGAGAATTGCAAATTCTCAGCGGGCAATGGTAGAGAAATAAGTGAAAATATTATGAAAGCCGTGGCGGCAAGTGAAAATCGGAATTTATAATTTTCGTGTGCCGATTTTTCAACCGCAAAAAAGGTGCCCCAGGCAGCTGGCACTGCCACTGCTGTTGCCAGTGTTGTTGTTTCAGCCGCTGATGATGTTGACGGTGATGCAATCCGCTCGACATGCACATCAAGTGACAGAGCAGACATTGCGCATACGCCGCATTGTGCAGAGTGCCCAAAAAAACTCCCGCCCCCCACACAGATGAAAGCCAAGTCGCGCCACGGAGGGCGTAACCCAGTGGAGTGGTGCATCTGCAAAACAAGAATTGGAGCACAAGACTGCAGCAAGATAGTACAGGGCTTCAGACAGATGTTTTTGATCGAACTTTAGCTCAAAGACAGGAGAGAATAAAATCCAGATTAATCCAGTACACTCTATAGGGCATATGCCTACTATATAAATATAAATAAGCAGACCCCCCGATGGTTATGACACTTACACGTGCCCCGTCTGGCCCTGGGTGTGTGTGTTTCCCACTTGAGTTTCCATGATGTTGCGTGCCCTCCCATACATCATCATCGTCTTCTCATTCTGCTTCATTGTGATCATCATGTAGTGCAGCAACAATATGTAATTTTTGCTTCTTTTTTTTTGTCGCCATGGTCTCGTGGAGAAGACTCTGCGGACGAGGAGGTGGCAAAGTGCCAACTCATAAATATGTAAGCCGCAGACGCCACTGTTTTTGTTGTTAATGTTGTTGTTGTTGTGTTTGCAACAATTGAACAAACACCCGCACGACAGACATTGTGCAAACAATTCAGAGATCGCTTTTTGTACGGGAGTACGCGCGCTCTTTTTTGTTTTTCTTTCATTTAAATCATTGTGCCATTAAAAGGCGATCTCGCATCCATCGCTGGCAGTTGAAACGAAAATTTTAAATTTAAATTTGTAATATATTTTTTTTGGATTTTGCTTCAAACAGTCAACAGACTTCCAGTTAATGCAAACAAAAGAGTGCTCTCGTGCCTGGCCCCATCATAATTTTGTGTCTGCCCTGCCCCGCCGTTTGAAATGCACCAGAAACTGGCTAGCAAATACACATTTTATGGGCGACAAAAGTAAGAGCAAAATATTGCTCCCGAACGATGATAAATGCCAAAAATTAAACCCGTTCCAGCCGGACATGTAACGAGCGTTCAGATCCGTTCAGATCTGTTCAGATAATGCGTTCGGTTCGGTTCAGCACTTTCAAGGTTGGGGCGTCAAGAACTTGCAGAAACACACAAACAGAAAGGCAAAAACCAGACCAGACCAGGCCAGACCAGGCTGCAATTGGGTGCGGGTCTCCGGTTGACAAGTCGGACAGCGACACGCGCTAAGCTCTGAAAGGCCCCCAAAATGCATCTATGGTAAGAGCACTTATATGTATGTATGTATGTATGTATGTACCTATATATGTAGTGTGGCACATGCCAGAGCCAGAGCCAGAGCCAGGGCCCCAGTTGCGCAATTGCAGTGAGCGCCATGATTCATAGGCCCCCAATTAGCTCCAGTCGCACCGCAAGTAAGCCGCTTAGCGAGCACAGACAAAGGAGTTGCTGCTGCTGGTGCCAGCTGCCAAAAGACTTCCTTCTGCGCCACGGCCTTGGGCGTACTGGTGCCCCGTTCGTTCTACGATACGCGTCGCATCCGCACGCACAGAACAGTTTCAGCGCTGCTGCTGCTAAAAATACCCGCCAACGACCTTGGGGTGGCTCCGCTCCGCCTTACATAATTAATTGCAATCGGGTTATGGGGACTGCGGAAAGGCACGATCTGAACGGAGGGAGAGAGGCTCCCTTTCCAATGGATTACAGGGTATGGATTCATAACTAAGCAACTAAGCATTCTTCCGCTCGAATACAACATACCCTTGATCTCCGGGAGTACCGTGTATGATCAGCGGATAAGATAAATCATTTTTGGGCATGTTAAAAGAAGCTTTAATTGTTAAATGCAGTTTACGCTTTTGCTCGAACCAAAAGGCCAGCTAGATAATTAAATTTCATGCCCCCCACATCACTCTCTCTTCCTCTGTGGCTGTTGCTGTGGTGGCTCTTCTCTGGCGGTTGAATGCGATCATCGCCAAAAAATTAACATCACGTTCGGCATACAAAAAGATTTTATATACTTATTAGCAAAATCCAGCCACCAGCAGCAGCAGCAGCAGCAAAAATGAAGTTCTCTGGTGGATGGGGAAACGGGATGAAAAGAACGAAATGTTATGCGTATATATTATACAATATACATAATACAGTCGAAGCGGACAACCGCTGCTTGGCATTTCGACCCATTGACGTAGGAAACCCGAAAACTTAATCACATCACTCGAAAATAGCCGATGAAACAGACAGAACTGAATGATACTCGTACGGCCTTTGGGGTTTCTACTCGCTCTACTCCATGAGGCGAAGAGGTCAAAATCGTGGCTCGGCAATGATATATTTGAGAATCATTAGCCACTCACTGAGTCATGAATGAAAGTGGAGGAGCCATATGGGCGTACGATGGCCGATTCCTGAGGCATTCCAAGGGTTATGCCACAATAGCCGCCCGCACAAATGAATGTGAGAACTTGGATTTGGCACAGTTTTTTCCATCTCCATCTCCAGCTCCATCTCAATTCAAGATTCAATATTTCCCATCTATTGTAGTGCAGAAACTAGAACAAAGATTTTTCAATATCCCATACACGTCGGGGCTTGTGGGCGTGTCTACATTGGCTTACAGAATATTATTCGCCATAAATCTAAACCTTGGCCAGAACACAAAACAGACCACAGACGGAAAAAACCAGTTGTGTTTTTTGGAAATTTCGCTCTGGCCAAAACGGATCTTCGATCGCTAAGTTCTTTGGAGACAGCCAAGTGCGTGACATTTATCAGGTTTTATGGCCACTCTGTCCGTTAATTAAAGAACCAACGCCAACGCAGTCGACGAGCAGGGCAAATAGAAAGCCAAAGCCAAGAAGGGGTCGGCGGCTTCAATGGACTGGGACTGGGATTGGGATTGGGATCTCGCTAATCTTTGATTCCGAATGCTAGACGGGAACGGGACAATCGTTAAACCCAAGCCTGCAGTTCTGGGTAATTGAGAAAACAATTTCAATTGGGCCACGGCACGCCGCTCTGGTATTGGATCTGCATTAGAAAATGCAATGCGTGTCGTGCCCTTAATTTGACCACGCTCAGAAATGTCGCATCTAAGATGCGGCATGGAAATGGGAATGGGAAGTCGTGGAGTTTTTTTACGGGGTTCATCGATACAGCTTAATGGGCAATGGAACTGGAATCTGTTCCAGGCCAAGACTCACTTTCATTGCCAGTCGATGTGTGTGACACACATTTATTGGTAAATCGCATGAAGCAACAATTAATGCCAATCACGTGTCCGGCCGCCACTACACCTGACGGACGGGCCCACAGCACGGTAGAGCACTACTGGATTTTGTCACAAAACGTTGGCAATGGTGCGACGCATAAACAAATCAGTTTGACTTTGAAGAAAACCCCAAATGGCCAATTGAAATGCCATGCAAGTGGCTCTGACCTGACAGGCAAACGAAGAAGAAGAAACCAATTGAAAAATGCAAAACCAACTGTCCAACAAAGTGTTTAACAACAATCAAGGCATTGTCAAGGCATCGGCACTGGGTGTGAATATCGGGACTCAATTCAATTAGAGGCGGTGACATTGGTGATTCGATCAATCAAAATCGACTCGGATCGGCCAAAGGAGTAGTGTTGTAGTGCTGTAGTGCTGTAGTGTTGTACCCAAGCGCCGATTGTTCCATTCCGGTCAGTTTTGTAGAGTTCATTGGCTCACAGATTGATTGGACTGATTGCTTAATAATCTGTGGAGTGCGTGTCCCCTTCGCTGGAGGTAATCACTTCGCACCAGAACCTCGGCCAGAGCCCACAACTTAATTGTCCATAACTAGAAGCGTCGCTCGTAATTATTTATAATAATTTGTTTGGAAAATGTTCTCTTCTTTCCAATCGGCAGACAGAGGAAACGCCAGCAGCAGACACACACAAAGATGATTTCACGCCGCAAGATCATATCGCGTTCCCTGGACAATTTGGACGCCATCGGGCAAGATGAGCCGGAGGAAGACGTCTGGCACGATCGCGAGAAGCTGTTCAGGGTGAGTTGTAGCTTGTAGTCTGTCTTAGAACTAGCGCTTATCCTTTGACCTATCCCTGGCAGGATCACATCAACGAGGTTCTGGCCAAGTGGGAGCAGATCGACGATGAGATCTGGGCCAAGATAATCGTCTTCGAGAAGAACCGACGCGTGGCCAAGGCCTATGCCCGCTCCTCTGTGATAACCATTAACGGATCCAAGAACGGTTTCGACGGAGTGCGGTGAGTAGACCCCTCCGACCATCCAAAGAATTTTTTCCCTAACCTGATGTCTCCTCTAAACAGCATCGGTTTGAATGGCTTCGAGAATCCCATGCGCGACTCCGAGACGAAGGTCATCAAGAAGTCCATTGGCGATGGCTTTAAGGTCAAAATGGACGAAATAGGCAACATATTCATCAAGCGGTATGGCAAGAGCAACATCTTCGTGAATAACACATCGTCGGGCAACGAGGAGACTGTCATTGGCGGCGACATCATGCAAATGCCGCAGATGTCCCTCAGCGGCGGCACCTCGGCCAAGCTGTTCGACATGAAGAAGTTTCAGACGAACATTAACCGCGAATTCGCTCGCACATATCCGGAGAGGGGTCGCCTGGAGCGGCAGTGCCTGTCGGCCGTGTCGCTGGTCAAGTCAAACAACAATCTAATCAACACTCCAGTCTGGATACTCGTGGTCAACGTGGTGGCCATGGATATGCTGAGGAGTCGCCTTCAGACGATGCCCAAGTCGCTGGACGCGCTGGGCATGCGGGTGCCACTGACGCAGAGCAGCGAGGATCCCTACTCGACGATCGAGAGTCAGGTGGGCCTCATCTACCCGACGCCCGCCGCATCCGATGACTCGCAGAACTCCCAGCACTCGAGCCACTCCAGTAAGGGACGCCGCAGCGTGTTCAGTGCCGCCTTCCTCAACGAGGGTCCCTACGTGCCCAAGGTGAGTTGCTCTGCATGGGCCTAACTCTCCAATTCCTACTCACATGGGCCCTTTCTTCTCTCACCTAGCCGGACTACGAAGCTGGCGGATCCCTGACACCCATCTATGCGGACAAGAAGCGTCAGAAGAGCAGCTCGCATCAGCGTAAGAAGCAGGACGATCCCTACTACTGCGGGCTTCTGGCACGCATTCCCAACTTCATCAAGTCGTCAAAGCAGCCGTGCAGCGGGGCCAGCAAGCCCAAGAAAGAGACGAAGATCTCACGCAAGATCTCGGCCCAGCACCTGCAGCAGCAGCATCAGCAGTTCCTGCAGCCACCGCAGCCCATTCCCATAGCCACCTTCCACCACTCGTACTTCCCCTACAAGCTCTATCCGCCACAACATCGTCTCTCGCAGTCGCAGATGTCGCTCTGGGATGCCCGCAGTCTGATCAGCGCACATGGTGGGTTAAACGAAAAATACTTTATGCTGGGAATCTCGTCTAATTATGTTCTCTCTTCCCACAGAATGACCAACACGGATGGCCCTAATTTATTCAACGTGTAGCATTAGTTTTACAATTATTTAGTCAAAGCTATCGATATTGGATCAGTGGATCGGGGGATTGGTGGAGTGCATTTCGGTCAGTTTTGTGATAAATGATGCGAAATGCAGCCATTTTACTACAGATTAACAGCAGATTACTTTTAGGGAACCAGAGAGATTTAATGATTATGCAATTTGTAATAACTAATTAAAATTTTGCCATAGTTTTTTAAATCGTTTAAGACTGAGAGAATGTCCTAGAGCCCAATTAGGCGCGAGAGAAGGAATAGCAAGATGGGGAATGATTCCGTCATAAGCAAGTGTATTGCTACTTTAGGCAAGTCCAATTTATTGTTTCTTTTTATTATTTTGCTGTATATACATTTCATATGTAAATAAGTTCAAATAAAATATCTATGTAAAATAAATTTGAATGCATTTAATTTGTTGTTTAATTTGAATTTTCTAGAGAGGAGACGGTATATAATGGTATATTTAGCCAGTTTCATCAATCATTGTTATATAAAGAAGATGGTGGAAAAGAAGAAAGAAGAAAAGAAGGAGGAAGATCAGAAACGTAATATGTAAAATATAACTTGAATTCGTCAGTATATTTACTGTACATTTTTTCAATGAGACCGTATATTTTGGTATTTATTTGAATCGAGTAAAATCGGTAATAACCGGTTCACAACAATGAGTCCCATCACTAACCATACAGTATATATATATACATATATCCCATTCCATGCACGCATACCCTGGGGGAAATGGATGTTATAGAATTGTGAATATGTTTGTCATCCCAGGCAAAAACAATTTATTTCTAAAATATTTTAATATTATTCAATATTATTTATTATATTATTTTTAATATTTCAACGATATTTTGAAGCTTATTGTCTTCTTATAGGGACCAAGAATAGGTATCAGGATCGAGATATATATACAAAACACTCATCATATACATGAATATGTCTAAAAAATGTCAATTTGAGAAAAGGTCTATATTAGTTCCGTTTTATCTTCATATCAATATTTATACTTTCATATACAATTAACAAAATAGGGTATACAAAGACCTATACTACGGGTTACACGCAATATAGCGACTCTTTTTTTGTTGAACTTTTTCGTTTAAACCTCTTTTTACACAAAATGCAATAAAAGCAAGTATTAAGAATACACCAGTTAAATAGAAAATTGATTCATCAATCGTATAATATTATGATGGCATGGCTAAATGTTCTATATAGCTAGTAATATTCGTCGGAATATCAAAAACGAGGAATATGTAAAACAGAACTTGCATTCGTCAGTATATTTACGGTATATTTTTAAAATGTGACGTTCGGACGGTATATTTTATCGATGTATTAATCGAATCGAGACGGTGTTTTTGTTAATTTGTGCAATAATTATTTATTTTGTATTTTGCAATTTCCACCTTAAAAAAAATATATATATATATTTTGTATTAAATAAAGTCCGCGCGTGCGGAAACCCCTGAAGACCATGGATAAATTCGTGCAACGCAAACCCTCATGGAAAACGAAAACTTACGAGGCGGTCGTCGCCGAAGCAGCGCAGAAAACGCAGAGACTGCAACATCATGCGCCACCAGTGCGTCGTCCGTTGCAGGAGCACCCGGCTTCGAATGTCACCCCGAAGCAACTGAATCAGCCTCAGAACACAGCAGGTAGGCTTTGTATTTTTGTTGTAATATTTAGTAATCTTTTTGGATACGGAGCTATCAAAATTAGTAGTAACTAAAATATATAGACAATGTGGCAATTAGATCCAGAAATCGCTAACCAAATTTGTTCTTCTTGGATAGATACCATGCGTGCCTCGGAGAAGATGCCGGACGTGCACACTAGTGCAAAAAAAACGTCCAAACCTTCTCCCGTGGCCCGCCCGGTCGTTTCGCAACCGATGACTCCACGTTCGATCAGCCAAGGGCCTTTTGTGGAGACAAAAAATAATGTGACAACGCCCACGTCCAGGCCGGTTGGACCCTGGGCACGTCTACAGAATGATCTCAACAGCCCCAGCGCTTCACTTCGAGTGCGTGCCATTCGCGCTCTAAAGTAAGTAGTACCTCCATCAACGTGCTAGAGAAATTTATTTCCTTCTTTTGTCCTGCAGAAGTCCCACCAGAAACGCATACAATGTGTTTGATGTGCCGCATACCGAGCAGAGTATCATCTCTGCTGACGAGCGTACTCCCAAGCCACCACCTTCCCTCCAGGAGGTCATGAGCTCCGTTGTAGTCTACGTGGATGTGCGTTCCGGCAACGACAACCGTTCCGATGGTGTCAAGTCGATCATAGCCGACATGGGGGCTCAGATCAACGATCGTCTACTGCGGTGAGTACATCGCTTCGATCCAGGTTGAATTTCCAGCTGAAAGCCAGTTCTCGCTCTTTTTCCCTAGAAACACCACGCATGTGATCTTTAAGGATGGGTTACTCTCGACTTACAAAAAGGCCGTGGAGTGGAAAATACCGGTTGTCTCAGTATTGTGGCTTGAGGGCTGCAAGTCGCAACGAAGGGTTTGCGAACCCGAAAAGTTTCCCATCACTAACATGCACAAATATGAATATCCTGAGCTCTACGGCAAGATAACGGTGAGTGAAGAGTACTTTTTGGGCGTCGAATACTTAGATAACAAGCTTTTGGTTGGTTCCCTCCTCCATTTGATATCTATTCCGAGTCAGCCCCGTATGTTCCCAACTTTATCAATCAAAATTGTCAGCCAAAAGGTCGACGTGCTATTTGCAAGATATTTGTGAGGCGGGGGAAAGTTAAGAGAGCGAAACTCGGAGGTAATCAATAATGTTCAGTTTATGGCAGTGTTCGAACAGAAGCATTAGCTCCACTTAATGGGTAATTCAGGGCTTAAATGGTTTCCTTTATTGGACACATAAACAAATTAATAGTGTATGTGGAAATGGTTTAGCAGATAGCCGCCGCGTAGTCTTATCAGCCACTTGTGTTGATGACCAAGATTGGCTGAAGAGCCAGCCAACGACGGCTGTGACTGTTGCTCCGTGACACTTTTGAATATACATCAAAATGATTATTTAATCCAAAGAAATACCGAAGCAACGCGGGCCATCGGCCGTCTGAAATTGCACGTACCCCAAACATAGAGCGCCGACTATTGGGAACTCTTCGTGTCTGACAGATTCTTATCAGTGACAACCATTGTCAAGCGGTTTGTTGGTGCCGTGCGTTATCTAATTTAATTTGCGCGAGGTCTGAGTCGCTGCTTATCATAGGTATCGTAGGGCCAGGGCCAGGAAGTTGAACGGGCCAAGGAAGCCTGTCCAGGAGAGATGAGAGGAGCTGATCGTTTGCATACATCAAGTTTTATTGCTTAAATGTTAGACGGTTTAAAAACATACGAGTCACTGGACGCTGCTGACAACTTAAAACCTAATTCTCATGCACGTCTGTTTGTATTCTTTCCGAGAATAGTACAACAAATCTTCACGTCATTTACATAACTCGCTGGAATGCGTTCGTAGATGCAGATGCACTGCAGCCCAGTCGTCAGGCATATTTATAGAACATTAAACTCTAAGTTAGATTATTAGATTCACGATTCACGGGAAACTGCTTGCTGGGTGGCGCGAGGCAGGAGAAACGTTCCACGTAGCGCTACCTGGGCCAAAGTGCCTCTGAGATTTGTACAATGCTGCATGCACGCACATGCGAGTCTGGTTCTATTTACATAAAAGGAATAAGCGTTAAGTACAATGGAATCCTTGCATTACACTATTTTGTAAGTCCTGCGGTGGCGGTGCGAGGCAGGCATTTTGTAGTTTAGGTATGGGATGCCCCCCTCATGAGAGCGCCACCTCAAGGCACATCATTATCAGAAATCCAGATACAGTGCCCCACGTGGCAATCGTTCCATTTCCGCTGGCATGGGCCTCCGGCAGGATGTCATCCGACACAATGTAGATCATGGCTCCGGCCGCAAACGACAGAGCATACGGCAGGATCAGGTTGGCAAACGTCACCGCCACGGCGCCCAGCACACCAAAGATGGGCTCCACCATCCCGGACAACTGTCCGTACCATAGCGCCCGGCCCACACTGAAGCCGGCGGCATGCAGGGGCAGACTGACGGCCAAACCCTCCGGAAAGTTTTGAATCCCAATGCCAATGGCCAGGTTGCGGGCGCTCTCGAACGTGGATGAGTTGGAGGTGCCGATAGCTCCGAAGCTCACGCCCACCGCCAGTCCCTCGGGAATGTTGTGCACGGTGATGGCCACCACCAGCAGCATGATGCGCTTCCATTGCGAGAGTGCCTCCTGGGCGCGCTTCTCCTCCTCGGTGGTGGTGTAGGTGCACTGCTCCATCTCGTTGATGCTGCCCTTCTTGCGGCGACGTGACTCTCCGCTGTGCTGCACGCTCAAACAGTCGGAAAAGCTTTCCAGACTCTTTGAAGCGAGGCGCTCGCCGTTCCCATTCCGCTTCAGGTCCTCGATGGCAATGTCCGCCTTGTCCTTGCTCGACTGCGTCATCTGAATCATCATTTTGGTGCTGTTCAGGCCCAAATAGGACATCAGCTTGTCGCAGCCGTAGACGAAAAAGGATCCGAGCAGAAATCCACCTGCCACGGGTACAAACGAGTACACTCCGTACAGGTGCGAGCTCTCGGCCATTTCGATAGCCGGCTTGAGCAGGGACCAGAACGAGGCGGCAATCATCACGCCAGCCGCAAAGCCAAGCGCCGCGTCCAGCGACCTTCTCTGCGTACCGCGCACAAATATCACAAGGGCGGCACCGGCGGCCGTCAGTCCCCAGGTGAGCAGGGTGCCCAACAGGGCCTGAGTTACGGGTCCGTAGCCGGGAATCATTCTGTGCTTCTGTGCTAGTCGCTACCTGGTATTGTGATTGGATCTACCTTGTCGCGCTTCTATAAATTGGGTATGTACGCGTTGCGATTGAGGCGACAGTTATCGGAGTACTGGCAGTTGGGAAAACAAGTTTCTTAATTGTTTCCCTAGCTGTCGCTCCACAGCCAGAATCTTCTTGTCTGTTAATTGTTTACTTTCTCGTACAACAGATGCACACGCCCTCGAGCCAAAGTGCCACGTTCCGTGCACTGATTCGTGTCTAGTATTTCAGCAGAATAAACAAAGGGCTTGCAGCTGGTGAACCGAACGTTAATAGCGTAGTTTTGTTTTCCAAATTTCCTCCTTCTGTGGCGTAGTCCAGTCGTGAATGGGTGAGCACTTGTTGCTTATCGCTCACTCGAGGAAGCCTCCCGGAACAGATGTGTGTGTGTTGACAAGAATTTAAATGGGAATGCGTAATACTGTTGGGTTTACTTAGTTTAAGAGAAGAACTAATTGAGCGCAGAGGAGTGGGAATGACTGAGCTGACAGCGCTGCCAAGAGCAATTTTTATAGGGCAGCCCCGGCTGAGAGGCTGGCAGCTGTAAAGCTATCGATAGTATCGTAGCTGTCTGCTCTATGTATATCGTCTCTAGTGGCCTATACTTGGTGATGGGAATTTTTCGAACGATTATTTCTTTGGCGTCTGTTTGAACTTCCCACAACTATCATTTTTGTTGGACGGACATCTACTTTAGTTGAATAAATGAATTGTTATTAAAACCCTATTCTTAAAAAAAACCCATAAAATATCGATGACCGGAGAGTATCTTCCCTTCTTGACAGCCAGTGAGCGCTCAAGAGATAAGCGCTAAAAAGATTAAACAAAGCCAGTAACGGCACTGATATCACGTAGTTATAAACAAATAAAACAGTGTTTTTAGCCAACGTGTGACTGACAGAGTCAGTTGCGCCAGCATCCGCCGCAGCAGGAACAATAACAAAGAGGGCATGAGCTCCATCGTAATTAAGCTGACCGACCGCACTTATTTATTTATCAACTCCTAAATCCTTTGCAGCGTGTTCGGTACATGCAACCGGGCTCGGAACTTGCCATACGTCCGTCAAGACGCCCAGTAACTCCCACATCATCGAAGGAGAGTGGCCCAGGATCGGGCAGCAAGCGAACTGCCTTGGGAACTCCAACCACAACGGCAAAGGTACGATCGTAAGGAAAACGCCCCAGTAATCCTGTTTAACCCTAGTACTTTTGTTGCTTTGCAGAATGACATCAGCCGCTTCTTTAAGGCACTCAACCACAACAAGCAAATTGCCGGAGATGACGCGGTCGAGTCGCCAGCCACTAAACTACTCAACAGGTTAGTTAGGGCTTGTCATCTTTTGAAATTGATGTCCCATAACCGATTCAATTTCCACAGGATAGCCAATGGCAGCTATACGCCGGTTTCTCAGCGTCCATCTGCATTGCAAACTGGGGATAGATTGCAAGTGCAAGAAAAATCTTATGACAGTGGTGAAAAACTGCAGGCCCAGAAGACTTTGAACTTTAATGAGAAGCCAGGCAGCGATGAGCAGCAGCCTGCCAAACCACAGCACCGCCGTAGCACTGCAGAGGCCTCTCCTGTGGCCACGCCAGTACGCACCAGTCGTCGACGCAGCTCTGCACATATTTCCATGACCAGCAATGCGGATGCTTCTCGGCCTCCACAGCCAGAGCAACGGGTGACTCGCCGACGCAGCTCTGCACATATTCCGCTGGCAAGAAATCAGGATGATGTTCCGTCGCCTCTAGAGCCACGCACAACGCATGGCTGTAGCTCAGCTCACAAACCCATGACAAGCAATACGGAGGCTGCTTCACAGACAGAGCCACGAATGACACGTCGCCGCAGTTCGGCTCATATTCTCACGACTATTAATGTGGATGATCCTCCGCCTGCAGAGGCAGAGCCACGTCTGAAGCGTCGCCGCAGCTCAGCCCACATTCCCATGGCCAGCAATACGGATGCAGTTGCGCCTCCACAGCCAGATTTACGAATGACACGTCGCCGCAGCTCATTGCTTCAGGCTGCTAAGGAGCCTCTGGAATTGGCCCCGCAAAATATATTTGCATCAATTGCCGAGGAGCTGGCCCCAATACATGAGGACAAGAATTCGATTGCCGAAGAACCTGCAGGGGATGCAACCGAGTCAAATTGTCAGACATCATTGATAACCAAAATGAACGAGCGCATGGCAGATGCAAAAATCCTTAACAAAACAGATTTCGTACAACATTCTCTGGAAATAAGCGTCGGAAATCCTTCTCCGTCGAGAGTTCTCTATCAGGCGGACAAGCGAGGCACCCTGTACACCTCAGAGCGTATGGACATCAGCAAGGAATTCCAGGACGTGAATTTGACTGCCAGGAAATCGATGTCCAATGTGACTATGCAAACGTCCACACTCTTAGATGAGCACTCGACCCCGCCGATGTTCAGCTCGACTCGCCTGCCAACCAGCAGGTCCAGCACCACCGTAAATCGAAGGCGCACCCTATTCAACTTGGACATGGAGGTGATTAACGAGAACATAAACAGGCTGAACTCATCCCATCGACTGTCGCTGTTGCTGGCCAATCAGGCCGAGTTGGGAGAGTGCGGCAAATCAGTTGTGACGGCAGAAAAATCTCGGGCGGAGGCGAATCCCTCGAATGAACCAAAAAGGCGTCGACTATTCACGCCCAACGAAGTGGTGGTGACCTCACCCCCAAAGACAAATAAAAAACAGCGTTTAAGCTGTAGTGGAAACAATGCATCCACCCAGTCGGGGAAAAAGCTTCGTCGTTCATTGGCCGTTCCCGCCTGCCCTTCCTCCGAATCCAGCTGCCTTAGTGCTCATGTTGAACGTGAAAGCACCGACAAATTTCTCACCCCCGATGGATCTCTAAATGGTGCTAACGGCATTGATACTTCCTCCGGAATGAATGTAGCAGGAATGGAGAAATCGGCGACCAGCAAACGCCGCTCACGTGTAATCCGCACACTGGTTCACACGAACATGCATCAGGGGCAGGTCCAGGTGATTCAAAAGGTTGGTAACACTGTGGAGACACCAACTGAGCCCTAACCTTGGTAGCCTAACCTCTGTAGTACGAGTTGGGTGGATAAACATAAACTCCCACTAACGCCCAACTTTAGTCAGTAGAATAGACTATAATACTAACGTAGCTTAGCTCTGTTTGTAAATTCTCGTTAATATGCATATTCAATAACCATTAATCGGCCATAATAATTATTTATGAAACATAAACAACACGCAGTAAATTTGCAGCAACCTTCACCTTCATTTGTAATACTCGTTTCCCACACTCAAATAAACCGTTTCCGTATCCGTATCATAATCACCGGGGCCCTCTTTAATCTTACCCCAAATCAACTGAATTCGTTGCCTTCAACCTTAGGCCATACGGAAGTTGCGTGGAATGCGGCTGGATCCCACTGTGACCAATCGGACCACTCATTTGGTTAGCCTGGAGCCGCGCCGCACGTTGAATCTGCTTCGCGGACTCATGCGTGGCGTCTGGATAGTCAACTTCGGATGGATCCAGGACTCGCTGAATGCCGGCAAATGGTTAAATGAAGAGAAATACGAATTGAAGAAGTTCTCGCGTGCCATTGAGGTGAGTCTAGTGAAGAGCGTGAAGGGGTGAAGAGCTAGTAACTCCCTCTACTCAAATCAGATTTGCCGCACTGAGCGACAGGCCTTTGGCATCCACTACCACTGCGAGCTGTTCCGCTACATGGAACCCTTCTATGTGTCCTCCCTTTGCCGGCCCATAGAGTTCAACAACATGAAGGAGCTACTTTTGCTCGGCGGCGCCAAGATGACGGAGAATCGCTTTAAGGCAAAGTACATTATTGGCGACAAACGACGGGTCGTGGACGATCGCATTTATCTGACGCCCTACTGGGTGCTGGATAGCATCACTGCGATGCAAATCCAAAAGTTCAGCAAATACCTAATGAAGAGTGCTATTGTAACGCCCAGTGGCATACGGTATGAAGATCCACGGTCGCGTTCTACCCCCCGAAGCGACTACAATTTCGTAGATCCCCCACTGGTAATGGACAAATAGACACTTTATTTTGTTTTACCTTTGGTTGGTCTTCAAAAGGAAATTCTATAAACTAAATTATCCAATGAGTTCAAAATGTACACTACAATTAGGCCATTTTTAAATTAAAACAGACTGAATCCATACTGTCAAGTATATTTTTCTTGATAATTGATAATCAAATATAGCCGAAAAATAATAATTAAAAATAGAACAAGTTTCATTTAATCGAAAGATTCAACAACTGTGGCCGGAGAGGATGGAAATTAAACAAATATTTAGTCTCTTCAATGGCAAAAATGTCCACTTTATTGGAACGATTGAGGTATATTGTGTTGTCAGTGTTATTTCATTATTCATTTCTTGTACGTTTTAATTCGATTCAGATTCACTTTGTACTTTGAGGCATCGTCGGCAGGGCGGGCGGTGCATGGTGTGTGGAAGAAAATGCGTCTGGGCTGGGAGAAAATAAAAGCGCTGCTGAAAATCAAAAAGCAACAAACCAAAAAGATGTTGAAAGGGTTTTGTCTCGTTAAAAGAATAAATACAAAAATAGGGTTTTTATTTTTTGTAAATAAAGTTATCGCTTCTATTCTGGTTCTTTTTTTTCATGTATACAAAGTAGTTGTGTGTGTGTGTGCAAAAGGAGGGTAAGATAAATGATACAAATCAAAGAACAAAGGTTAATTTAATCGATATAAATGCTACGCGCGCTCGCTACTCAAGACATCTAGATATGATGGCACATCATATCCATACATAGTAAACTAAAGATCGATGGAGGGAGGATGGTTGAAGGAGGAGTGGTTGTGTTTCGTGTGCGCTCCTGCCAATCCACCATCGCATTCAGGCGGCTTCGACAGCGTTCGTTGACATTCGTATCCTACGAAACTCTTTTCGATGGAAAAAATTAAACTTTTGCTTCTTCTGGAACTTCATCTTATCGTTCATTTTGCTCAGGACAGGGACAGGTGTTCTTGCTATACTACTGTTGCTGTTGTGCTTGTTGCTGGTATTGTTGAGTGTGGGTTGTGTCTGCATTAGGTTGTTGATTATATGCTTGCTGCTTCTGATTGCGCTTGTTACTGCTGCTGCTGCTAGTGTTGTTGAGTGGGAGCAAACCAGCTACTTCTTGCCCTTGGTGGCCTTCTCGGCGGCCTTGGTGACCTTGCCACCGGAGGCATCCTTGAAGTTGACAGACTTGATGACACCGACAGCAACGGTCTGCCTCATGTCACGGACAGCGAAGCGACCCAGAGGAGGGAACTCCTGGAAGGACTCCACGCACAGAGGCTTGGAGGGCACCAAGTTGACGATGGCAGCATCACCAGACTTGATGAACTTGGGGTTCTCCTCGGTGGTCTTGCCGGAACGACGGTCAACCTTCTCCTTGATCTCAGCGAACTTGCAAGCAATGTGAGCGGTGTGGCAATCCAACACTGGGGTGTAGCCGTTGGCGATCTGGCCAGGGTGGTTCAGCACGATGACCTGAGCGGTGAAGTCGGCAGCGCCCTTGGGTGGGTTGGCCTTGGAGTCGCCAGCAACGTAGCCACGACGCAGCTCCTTGACGGAGACGTTCTTAACGTTGAAGCCAACGTTGTCACCGGGAACGGCCTCGACGAGGGCTTCGTGGTGCATCTCAACAGACTTAACCTCAGTGGTGATGTTGGCCGGGGCGAACACAACAAGGGTACCGGGCTTCAGGACACCGGTCTCCACACGACCGACGGGTACTGTTCCAATACCGCCAATTTTGTAGACATCCTGCAGGGGCAGACGCAGGGCCTTGTCGGTTGGGCGAGCTGGGGGGAGGATAGCGTCCAGAGCTTCGATGAGGGTCTTGCCGTCAGCGTTGCCATCCTTGCGCTCCACCTTCCATCCCTTGAACCAGTTCATGTTGGTAGAGGGTTCCAACATGTTGTCGCCGTGCCATCCGGAGATGGGCACGAAGGCGACGGCGGCTGGGTTGTAGCCGATCTTCTTGATGTACGAGGAGACTTCCTTCTTGATTTCCTCATAACGCGACTCGCTGTATGGTGGCTCGGACGAATCCATCTTGTTCACACCAACGATCAGCTGCTTCACACCCAGGGTGAAGGCAAGCAGGGCGTGCTCGCGGGTCTGGCCGTTCTTAGAGATACCAGCCTCGAACTCGCCAGTACCGGCAGCCACAATCAAGACAGCGCAATCAGCCTGGGAGGTACCAGTGATCATGTTCTTGATGAAATCTCTGTGGCCGGGGGCGTCGATGATGGTGACGTAGTACTTGGCAGTCTCGAACTTCCACAGAGCGATATCGATGGTGATACCACGCTCACGCTCGGCCTTCAATTTATCCAAAACCCATGCGTACTTGAAGGAGCCCTTGCCCATCTCCTGAGCCTCCTTCTCGAACTTCTCAATGGTACGCTTGTCGATACCACCGCACTTGTAGATCAAGTGACCGGTGGTCGTGGACTTGCCAGAATCGACGTGTCCAATGACGACAATGTTGATGTGAATCTTTTCCTTGCCCATGTTGGATTATAGGAGAGCTGCAGTTGCGTGTGTGTGTGTGGGTGAACGGGTACGGTTGTGTTGGACAGCGTGCAGCAGGTAGAATTTCGAAATCGGGTTGAACAGGAACGGTAACGTGGGGAAGAAACAAATGGGTAAACACATTTCGTTAGCAATTGGTTAGGAATTGTATTATTAATTAGTTGCAGGTTTAATGGGCACAAATAAATTTCGTTGTCTACAAATAAATCCACTAATCGGCATTCGTACTTTCGACTTTTGCTTGCGTGCTGCCAGCGCAGCCACTCAACCTAACCTCACAATCGCCGCAAAGCCAAAACGTGTTTTTTGCTCATCGCCTCGGAAGCAGTTTGAGGTTAGGTTAGGTGCAGCGCCGCATGCGATGGGAAGTGGTGGTGGAAAAAACCAGCCAGAGGGGGGAGGAAGCAGAACAGAGACAACTAATTGTTGAACAATGAAAGTACGCATACCCGCATACACATAAATATATGTACATGCAAATTTACAACAAAAGAAACAACCTATTTATTTGAACCATTCTAAAAGCAAACTCGATTTTTTCAGTGGTTTGGTATTTATGCTATCGTCAAAGTTCTTCAGTAGCAGAACTGAAAATAATCATCATGGTAAATCGAGTTGCTAAATTGAATAAATATGCGCAAGGAAATTTCCAGCAAATTTAATCGCGTTTGTATTCACATGAACACATGTGCCTGTCCATGCGTTCGTGTGTGTGATGCTCAGTTGCCGGCCGGAGCGAGCGAGGGAGAAAGCAAAGAAAAATGGCGACGACCCATACCAATGTGAATGTGACTCTTGCAAAGGCAAATGATCGCCGCGGTGGCACGAAAGAGAAAGAAAATTTTCAAGAACCGAATGCATTGCGAGTCTTTAAACCAGACCCAAGCATGAGGTCAAACCAAATGCATCGGAAATGTGCACCTTATTTCACAACAGCTGGCAATGGCAGCGTGCAGAGTAAGATTTTAGAGATTTTCGCTTGTTGCTAGGAAAGATATCCGGCCACTTGAGTCACACCATGAGTCGCCATTTTGAAATTCTATGCATATAGAGAAAGCGGAAAAATACGCTTGCGAAAACCACGTTTTCGGCACTCTGTTTCAGCGATGTTTTGTGCTTTTACTCAGCAGAACGAGTATTAATTGATGGAGCAATTAGCGGCACTAATGAACGACCCATCGATGCCACACATGCCAAGTGGGCGTGGCGAAGAAAATTACAAAAAAATTACACCATATTGCGAACTAAAATTACGCATTTTGGCGAAAATTGTTGAAAACAATTTGAAACGGTGCAGCAAGGGTCGTTGCATTGGTCACAGCACTAATTTTCTTCAAAGTGTGCACATTGCCACGTGTTTGCTTTTCGCATCACTATGCCTCCGTCAGCACCTTTCACTTTGCCAGCCTCGTTAGAGGTTATTTTTTCAAGCACACACAAATGCACCAGAACGCACATATTTGTTTATAAATGTTCATTTACTGCAGTTTCGTTGCACATATTCACTAAATCCTCTAACATATACTTGTATATACACCACAATTAATTCACTTTGGATCCAGAAACTTACTCTCGAATAAATTGAATGAGATATCACAGTCTATGCGTTTCCGGCGACAGACTTGAACAAAGTGAACGAGTGTTCGGCATGCCGGAAGCCAGGAAGCCTCGCTGGCATTTTATTTATCGATAAGATATACCGTAATATACCGTCGCATTTTCAAAATATACCGTAAGTATACTGACGAGTTCATGTTCAATTATACATATTCCCCGTTTTTTATATTCCGTCGATTATTACTAGCTAGCTAAGACTTCCATGTGTGAACATATAATTTTCTCCGATCAATGAATCAATTTTCTACTTGACTGGCTTGTTTTAAATACTTGAATTGTTTTCCTGATACGGCGATTGCTTTGATTGTTTTTGTCAATTTTGGTTCCTTAACAACAATATGTTGATGAAAAAACGAGCTTAGCCCACTTAAGCCCCCTCTGTTGAAATAATTGAACTACTTGAGGTAAATGACGTTAAATATCAAAGATTGTAAATTCTTCTTGTAGATCCATGCCAACATTGACGATATCTTTGACCTGAACTGCGCCAAGATTATTAAATGTTCATTATTTTCGGTGGAATATTAAAATACCCGCAGGCCGGCATGTCAACGCCGACCGGAAACGCAAAAAAATACCAAAAAGTACCCTTAACTTGTTACTAAATTATTGTTTTGTGCTGTTTTAGACGGTGAAACTAATCGCTTTTGTTAAGTCAATCTGAATTTTGTCCATATGCCGGCACAATTAAGTTTAATTAACAAATGTCAGGATTTCCGCGCATTGCGAAATAAGCGCTGAACCTTTCGGTATATTCAGCACTGCCTTTCTTTGCTATTGGTCACACAGTCAATAAAGTAACGAATAGCGACGTGGCGACCGACGGGAAGGCAAAATCAATCGCTATAAAGAAATTTACCGGTCTAGTACACGGCTACATAGCACAGTTAGTCTAGTCGCAGCAGGCAGTTGCCGAGTCGAGAAATATATTTGCTTCAGATTGTAGTACTGACTAAACATGATTAAAATGCGGTGTCTGGCAGCTGCCGTGCTAATTTTCGGCTACATTGCCACTACATTAGCCGCCGAGAGTGACGTCCTGGACCTGGGGGACGACAACTTTGCATCCACACTGAAGCAGCAGGAGACGACATTGGTTATGTTCTATGCCCCCTGGTAAGTGCGTGTGTGTGGGGTAAGGGGAGCGGGCGTGGCAGGTCGGGAGTGCAATTACCTTAATCAGCTTGTTGCGTCTGCTTTTTAATTAAATTGCGCTGCGGTGAATCGAATCAAAAGTACACGTCAGCGTTAAGAAGAGGGTCGAAACAGAAGAAAAAAAAAAATCAGCGACTACAAAGTCGGTATCAGAGCGGCCATTTTAAGAGACGTAGGGTAGAGGGCAGGCAGCTTCAACCAGCGAATGTGTCAATACAACTATCTCTTTGTTAGCGTATGAGTGTGAGTAGATTATTAGGAGAAAACTTCAAAGCTATCATTTCCAGATACGAGTGCATACGGGTTTTTGTATGTGGGCTTGCCGGCCGGTGGCCGGTGGCCGATTTCCATCTCCCCGGAGAGCAGTGAAAGAGTTTTTAAATTACATTTAATCCCCGCATCGTTGGGCTTATCAGCTCTGGAACATAAGCAGTTTAATTAGACGTTGTTAGCAATAAGAGTGCATGATAAGGCAACCCAACTGATAAGTATACGCACCCCATGCTATAATTACAAACTATTCGACTTTTTGGGTAACATGTCTTCCTGTTGTCGTGATAAAAATGATGAACTAGCTAAATTTGTTCGAGAAAAGACTGTGACGTGTCCTAATAGACTTTTTCTGTTCTTATAGGTGCGGCCACTGCAAGCGCCTCAAGCCTGAGTATGCCAAGGCGGCTGAGCTCGTCAAGGATGATGATCCACCAATTAAGCTGGCCAAGGTTGACTGTACCGAGGCTGGCAAGGAGACCTGCAGCAAGTACTCAGTGAGCGGCTATCCCACACTGAAAATATTCCGTCAGGATGAAGTGTCGCAGGACTACAGCGGACCACGTGAGGCCATCGGCATTGCGAAATACATGCGCGCTCAGGTTGGACCTGCCTCTAAGAATGTGCGCTCTGTGGAGGAGCTCGCCAAGTTCCTGGACACCAAGGAGACCTCAATCTTTGGTAGCTTTGAAGACATTGACTCCAAGCTGGCGAAGATCTTCCTCAAGTTTGCCGACAAGAACCGCGAGAAGTATCGCTTTGGCCACAGCAGCGACGAGGAGGTATTGAAGAAGAATGGTGAAACGTAAGTGATGCCATCTCAAGACTGCAAATGCGTTTATTATACTTAATACAATTTGTTACGCCTCAGGCAATAAAAAATAGCTATTAAGTTTTGTCCCTTATCACAAATAAGCAAAGTATTCGATGGCTCTTGTCTTCCGTACAGCGATAAGATTGTGCTGATCCGTGCTCCACATTTGAGCAACAAGTTTGAGGCTTCCACAATCAAGTTTGAGGGAAGCACTGAGTCCGACCTGACCACCTTCATCAAGGAGAATTAGTAAGTGATCTCTTTTCTATATCCTCCCCCAAGCACACTCTTAATTTACGTTCGTTCAATCTATGCAGCCATGGCTTGGTTGGTCATCGTACCCAGGAAACTTCACGGGACTTCCAGAACCCCCTGATCACCGCCTACTACAGCGTCGACTACCAGAAGAATCCCAAGGGCACCAACTACTGGCGCAACCGTGTCCTGAAGGTGGCCAAGGAATTTGCCGGCCAAATTAGCTTTGCCATCAGCTCCAAGGACGATTTCCAGCACGAATTGAACGAATACGGCTACGATTTTGTTGGCGACAAGCCCATCGTTTTGGCCCGTGATGCCAAGAATCTCAAGTACTCTCTGAAGGACGAGTTCTCCGTGGAGAACCTACAAGATTTTGTTGAGAAGCTGCTGGCCGACGAACTGGAGCCATATGTCAAGAGCGAGCCCGTCCCAGAGTCGAACGATACTCCGGTCAAGGTGGCTGTAGCTAAGAACTTTGACGATCTGGTGATCAACAACGGCAAGGACACGCTCATTGAGTTCTACGCCCCATGGTGCGGCCACTGCAAGAAGTTGACTCCCATCTACGAGGAGCTGGCCGAGAAACTGCAAGACGAGGATGTGGTCATTGTCAAAATGGATGCCACGGCCAACGATGTGCCACCAGAGTTCAATGTGCGTGGATTCCCCACACTCTTCTGGCTCCCCAAGGACTCGAAGAATAACCCCGTAAGCTACAACGGGGGTCGCGAGGTCGATGATTTCATCAAATACATTGCCAAGGAGGCGACCACAGAACTGAAGAGCTTCGACCGTGACGGAAGGCCCAAGAAGACCGAGCTCTAAGCTCCAGGCTCTAATCTTAACTCTTACTGCTGACTGCGTCGTTAATGTGGTGTAGTGGCGGTGTAACTAGCATTTCCATATTTTTGTAAAAGTCGAATGCATTCTCTTCAAATTCTTGATGGGACAAAAATTGTATTAAATTATATATAGTAGTGATGATGATAACGCAGATGAACACAAACCCAACCCCATGAAGATGTCACAATAAACTTAAAACTTCATTTATCTACTCAACAATGAAATGAAAAATTATTTTCTTTAGTTCTTATGAAGTGTTGTGGGGGTAAAGTCCTCCATGCGCTCGTCCAACATGATGCGAAACCAATCGGGAATGAAGGTATACAGGTTCCTGCCAAGATACGATGTGTACGAGATCTCCCCCCGGCTAGCATCAAACTTCAACAGATACACGGTCCTGGGGCAGTCGACTACCGACATAAAGCCGCGAATCTGGTCCACCAGCCGCAGTAGGAAATTGACACAGACATGCGGTGACCAGGCTTTTTCCTGCGCAAACAAATTAAAGTGTTATTTCAATCGGAGCATATTGTATATATGTACTAACGCAGTCCTTCCAAAGTTGGCGCACAGATAGCTTGTTAATGGTGTGCGCGATGGTGTGACGGTTAACATTAGCAACGTAAATGTTTTCGATGCCCACCAGAAAACACTTGGACCACCACTTGAGGGCGTCGCAACGGTTGTGCGTAGCCCATTCATCCACGCTCATACTGTCTTGGCGAAACTGCAGCTCCGTAAAGACTAAATTTGAACTAGCAGGCGAATAAGAGCAAATAAATTTAAACCGATTTTAAATGTACATTCCCGTACTTACCTTCTGTCACTTCCTGTGCAAAAACCTTCGGCCAGAATTGGTGAATCGAAAATAAAACGTGTGCCATTTATGCTGAAGGAAAACACTCCGTTGTATTGTCCAGTCGGTTCCATTGGGTCGCATGGTTTCGGCATTGCATTTGCATTCTCTGAAAAAAAAATAAATACTAAATAGTAATATTGGATGGTTAATCCAATGCCCTACCGGATAGGAAGTGCCTACGAAGCTTTGCGAGCCAATCAGCATTCAGTTCCTTCATAGGAGAAGTTTTTAGATCCTCAGGAACCACGGGGCTGATGTAAATCGTGTTTCGATACTTGGTCACGGCGAGGGTCCAGTTCTCCTTCATTTCGTAGGGAGTCCTCAAGATTAGTTCAAGAACTTCGGTGGTGCACACAATGTCGTAACTGACTTCCACCTCCAGTTTGGCGCTTAGATGGGATGTCCCAGTGCTCTCCATGTACAATAGTATGTTGTCCAAGCCTGGCTGCGATAAGAGTAAACTTCGCGGAGGACTCGGCTCAGAGTCCCCCAGGTGCACTTGGAATTTGTCCATTTTTGGAACGACTACGTAGCGCAAGCGATTTGCATTGTTCTCAAATTTTCCATATGGCGATAAGCTGAAGCCGCCGTGAGCCACTGGCTTAGAAAATTCTGGAAAGTCACATCGGTCCGCTTTGGTAATAACGTGAGGTTTTATATTTAATAATATTTCATCAGAAATCATCATGGATTCATCTGAAAACGCAAGATTTAATTTTCCTAAAATTGGTTTTACCGTTGCTTAACAAAAAAAAGTGGCATCGTTAAATACTATACGCATACTTGCAAACATATTAATGTTTCTTCCAATATACAACTTTCGTTAATCGTTCAAGGTTGCAATGTGTTGTGTAAACAGGCTTTTAACTTTTACAAATCACACTGGTTCAGCAATTATTTTCGAGGCTCTACTGTGCTTCCCACTACACTCACAACAATTTGGCGCAACGCCGGTTTTGGGGATGCCAAACGTAAACAAACCGGATGGTTGCCAGACTGCCGCACACAGATGTTCGCAATGAACGGTGTGGCAACCATTGCAAGGTGCGCTGCACGTGTTTCAAATTCGCGTGTGTTGCTTGTTCATTCCCGGGTCTGAGCTCTGAAATTAATTCGAAAGCAGTTAAAAGTAGCTCGAAAGAAATAACAGTATCCGAATACAGTTGACCGGCTACCAAGGCAATGGAGGTAAATGCCAGCAAGCTACGATTCTGTGCACAGCGACTTCTGCAGTTGACTGCCAACGAGCCCCAAGACAATTTGTTTATTCAAAATGTACAGAAGTTCATCAGAAAGAAGGTAAGTGTATGATCATATTTTAATAAAAAACAAACTTTACAAACCTTTGCTCTACTTTAGAAATATGTGCCTCAAGACGTGGAACGTCTGTTCTGCAGTCTCAGCGAGCAACTTGCGTGTCCGACCTACACCGTTCCCTTGGCAGTGAGCTTTGAGGAGCAGCTGTTGCTACTTCTTAGCATGGCCCTGCGATGGGACTCGGCTGGAGACGATATCCATCAATATCATAAGGAGTGCATCGCCCTGTCAAAGCTAATGGACTTCTCTGTGGATGCGCAGAGGTGAGTAGAGGTCCCTGTATCGGATGACCAGTTTCAAAAGCACACATTCCCTCTGACATCCGTATAGGTTTGCAAAGAGCTACTTCCACAACAAGCCAGCACCGTTCGAGAAAAGCCAAAGTAATTCCAGCAGTGTCCCCAGCAAAAGGGCAAAGAACGCAAAGGCCAGCCAAAAGTTAGATGAACTGGAGCTCTTGAAATGTTGCTACCAGTTGCTGCGAAGTGACACGTCCTACTTCCGTGAGTTGTGGGACTGGTCCGGCTTCATTGCCACCTACTCGCACCTCGAGACCCCCTGCCCGATGATACAACTCTACTGCAACTACATCATGGCCATGCTCACGAAAATGAGCCCCACACAGCTAAATGCCCAAAATGCCATGATATCCACAGAAGCACAGCTCCGATTTGAACGCGAGAAGGAACAGTCATGGGCCGTAGCCAGGCAGGCCGAGGGCTGCTGCTATTCTAACGAAGACGAAACGCCTGAACAGATGCTGAGCCTGAGCCCCAACCAGAGTGTGACCAACATTGAGGGCGTACTCTTGCCGACATTCAACAAGAAGAATCAGGAATTCTATGGCAGCACTGACGGCTGCTACGATCGCATTGTAAAAGTGGATTCGACGGTTGTAAATCTACGGAGCATTGCCCTTGGTGTCGCAGCGGCCAAGACGATTTGCCTATCCGGTCCTGTGGGCTGTGGCAAGACGACGCTTATTGAGTATCTGGCCCGCAAGACGGGACGCATTTGCCCCAAGCCCAAGGAGATTGAAACTCGCGAAAAGGCGCTGCGAAAGGCTGAAGAGGAGGACAAGTTGTTGACACCAAAAAAAGGAAAAAAGGGGAAAGAAAAGAAGCGGAAACTGGAGGAGGACCTTCCCATCGACCAGGCATTGCTGGATCTGGGTGAAATGTCGCAAAAGCATGGCTTTCTACGGATACAGCTGGGCGACCAGACCGACAGCAAAATGCTATTGGGCCAATATCGCTGCACAGATGTGCCTGGGGAATTCGTTTGGCTTCCTGGTGTCCTCACGCAGGTGAGAAGGAATTGATTAAACTGAACGAGGGTTCTATTATATGAATGATTATTTGCACTTTTAGGCTGTCATGCATGGCTACTGGCTGTTGCTGGAGGATCTGGATGCCGCCACCCAAGACACCTACACAATTCTGAGCAGTTTGCTGGAGAGGCAGTGCCTGAGCGTTCCCGGCTTTCGCGACTCTGTGAAGATTGAGCCAGGTTTCCAATTGTTTGTCACAGTGCGGTAAGAGTCTATGGAGCATTCAAAGCATCTTTATCCTAAACATTTTCTCTGTTTTAGGACCAACAAATCGGCCAGCAATTCGGGACAGAAATCGCTCTATTCGCTGCTGGATAAATATCTGTATACGATCAACGTTCTGCCGCTCTCCCGCAACGAGCTGTGCAAGGTGGTCAGCACAAACTATCCCAAGCTGGCGACCGTCGCCAATCGAGTGGTGGACGTGTTCCTTACCTTCTCCAGTGGCAATCACATGGCCGCCGACAATCTGCGTCAGCAGGAATCGAACGACAAGGCGGACAACACGGAGAAGTACGTGGCGCTGCCCTTTGAGCAGGTCACACTCTCATCCAGTCCCAACTCGGGCCGCCTGGTCTCGACCCGGGATCTGGTCAAGCTGTGCCAGCGTTCGAATGCCCAGTTCTCGGTGACCAGCGCCGAGTGTGCCTACTTTGTGTTCCAGAATGCCGTCGATGTATTCTGTTCGTATCTGCCGCAGAGCAGGGAGAAGATCACGCTGATCACGAGCATCGGCGCCAAGTTGGGCATCATTCGCTCCAGATGCGAGCATTTCGCCAATGAATACAAACCGGATGTGGATTTTGGACTGGAGATTATCAAGATCGGACGTGCCAGTCTTCTGGCCAAGTCCGAGCTGCTGTCCAATAATGAGAATGGGGAGCAGCTCTCAGAGCAAGACCTGAAGCGACAGAAACTAACCGAGCAGACCAGGAGGGCCATCGGCCAGACCAGCGTCAAGCGTGCCACCTTCTCGTTTACACGTCTCGCCAGCTGCATCTTGGAACGGATTGCCGTCAGTGTGAGCCACTCGGAGCCCGTGCTGCTGGTGGGGGAGACGGGTGTGGGCAAGACCTCCTCCGTGCAGTATCTGGCCGAGCGCACTGAACACAAGCTGGTCGTCGTGAACATGAACAACCAGTCGGATGTCTCGGATCTCGTGGGCGGATTCAAGCCCGTCGAACTCAACTATGTGCTGTCGCCGCTGCGCTGCGAATTCGAGCACTTGCTCTGCGAGACCTTCAATGCCGAGAAGAACATGCAGTTCCTCCGGATCTTTGCCACGCATTATAACAGCGGCCGGCACAGTGTCATCATACGCACGATGATCAGCCTGTGCCATCAGGTGTTCAGGAACACGGATCTAAAGAGCCACCAGATGGTGCCGCGTTGGCGCACGCTTTGCGAGAAGCTGCAGAAGCTGCAGACACAGCTGGACAAGAGCATTAACATTTCGTTTGCCTTCATACCCGGTTCCCTGGTGAACTGCATCAGCAAAGGCGAATGGGTGCTGCTGGACGAGATCAATTTGGCATCGGCCGAGACCCTGGAATGCCTGTCGACCATCCTAGAGCCAGAGGGATCGGTTGTGCTGCTGGAGCGGGGTGATTTCACGCCCGTCAAGCGGCATCCGGACTTTCGCATCTTCGCCTGCATGAACCCCAACACGGACATTGGCAAGAAGGATCTGCCCGTGGGCATACGCAATCGATTTACCGAATTCTTTGTGGACGAACTGACGACGGACGCGGACCTCAGTCTGCTGGTGAGTGACTATTTGGCCAACACGGGCATCCAGCGGAAGTCCGTGCACAGCATTGTCCAGCTCTACAAGTCACTGCGTCGCCTCTCCGAGCTCCAGCTGAACGATGGCCTGGGCAATCGTCCCGTCTACTCTCTGCGCACCCTGTGCCGCAGTCTGCGCATCTGTGCTCGGAATCTGTGCGGCTCCATTGAGCGGAATCTGTACGAGAGCTTCTGCCTGAGTTTTCTCACCCAGCTGGATCCGGAGTCGCATCATGTGGTGCTGCTGCTCATTCGGAATGCCCTGCTGAGCAATGCCAAGGCCGTGCTTAGCAAGCAGTTGCCCCGATTGGGAGAGAACTATCTACAGTTCGAGGGCTACTGGATACAGCTGGGGGGCCTGGAGCAGCAGTCCTGCTCCCACTACATCCTCACGGAGAGCGTCCAAAAGAATCTGCAGGATCTCGCGCGCATCATATCGATTGGAAAGCTGCCCATCCTGCTCCAGGGACCCACCAGTGCCGGCAAGACTAGTCTTATCGACTACGTGGCCCGCCGAAGTGGCAATCGCTGTCTGCGCATCAACAACCACGAGCACACCGACCTTCAGGAGTACATTGGCACCTATGCGGCCGATCTGGAGGGCAAGCTCACTTTCCAGGAGGGTGTCCTCGTGCAGGCCATGCGTCAGGGTTTCTGGATCATCTTGGACGAACTGAATCTGGCCTCCACCGACATTCTGGAAGCGCTCAATCGCGTGCTGGACGACAATCGAGAGCTGTACATTGCCGAGACGCAGACACTAGTGAAAGCCCATCCGAATTTTATGCTTTTCGCCACACAGAATCCGCCGGGACTCTATGGCGGTCGCAAGACCCTTTCGCGTGCCTTTAAGAACCGCTTCATTGAGCTGCACTTTGCGGATATTCCACGCGTGGAACTGGAAACCATACTCGAGAAGCGGTGCCTCATCCCGCCCTCGTACGCCCGGAAGATGGTCCAGTGCATGACGCAGCTGCAGCACCACCGCAAAAACACGTCCAAGCAGGTGTTCACACTGCGCGACCTCTTCCGCTGGGGCAACCGATATACGCACGCGGACAAGTCGCTGCACGATGATCCCCGATACGACTGGAATCAGCATCTCGTCGAGGAGGGATACCTGGTGCTGTCCGCGAAAGTGCGGACCTCCGACGAGCACCAGTTGATCGAGCGGACGCTGTACGCGAACTTCAAGAAGACCATCGACCATCAGTTGCTCTTCGACATCCAAACGTCGAGCGAGAGCTGCTCCC